ATCGGTTCTTGGGCCTGATGCAACTGCTTGAGGGTTCGCACCAAGTTGGGTCAGAGCGGCATCGTGGCTACGGCATCATTCGCACTCCAACACGGGGACTGAGATTACGGAGCCTCGGACCTCTCTCCTGTCTCTTGATGAGCGTGGTGCATTCATCTGGTCGCTCAGTCAGTCTTTTCTGCCCTGCTTGCTTTGCTTCTCATGGCCTCACTTTCCCGCTTGTCGCTTTGGCCTGGTATTCCGTGGGATTATTGAACGGGCTGTGGATCTTTGGGAAAAGGAAGACTGCTAAAGATCGCTGCGCCCATGCCGATTGCCTGTCAAGCCCGAGAAGCTGAAGCTAGGCGTATAGTAGGCACCCACACAGAGGAGCCTGACAGCGAGGGGGTGCGATGCGCACGACCCCCCCCCCCGGGCGACCTGTTGACGCACCGACCCCGTCGTCCTAGCCTTTGTGCCCAAGGTCCTTTGCGGGCGGCGGGGGTGGGATAGGGATCGGGCTGTAGGGAACCAGTTGCGAAAACGGCGGGGCAGAGGCGGTCGGCCTTTGTCCGCCGTACGACTATGCACCAGCCAACATCGCACAGTCTGACTCGACGGTCCCACCGATCGGTGAATATGTTTGTATCCTATAACCCCGGAAGGTGCCTCATGATGCCGAGGGAGAAATGGCACGAGAGCCGCATTGAATGGCTACACCCTCGTTCCGACAAGGGGGTTAGTTTATTGCCCTGTTCCCCTGCTTTTTACCACGCGGAAGTCTGTTGTGTGTGAGGAGGGGCAATTGTCTTAATATACAGGCGACATGCGAAAGCGAGCGAGCGAGCGAGCGACACGGCTTCATGGCCTATAAAGGGCAGATCCGAGTCGAGACCGACAACGCCCGCGAACGATGCGCCGTGGAGCAGCCAACAGCCAACATTCCGGGAGATGTGGGGGGGGGGGCACGAGGTAGACTGACGTGGGCGTGAAAGACCTAGCAATCGGGGGGGTCGGCGGCGGGCTCGATCTCGACATGCATGTTGTCGTTGTGCTTGACCAACGTTGCGCTGAGAGTCATGACAGGTTGTAACGGTAAATCTGCTCGCCCAGAATCCATGCGCCCACGGTTGAAGAAGGTAGCGCTCCCCATAAAGCGAGCTTCTGGGGTGTACCATGCTCGTCTGATCCTGCCTCGATCCGTATGGTAACTTTGCCAGTGGCATGGACGCGGTAGGCCGACGTCGTATTGGATCAAAAACGATTCCCTGACGAATCTGCCACCATGTTGCCTGTTGTGCTGTGCCAGTTGCCCATCATGTGCTTAGATTCGGCGGCCTGCTCTCGTGGAGTCTTTGTTCTGTCCTTGCTAGCATTTCCACAAGCAATCAAAGTCCATCAACCGGCAACTCGCAGGGACTGTAGTAGGGATATTGCTGGCTGGCAGGTTCAAGCATCGACGCCCCAAGGTTCTGAACAAAACCTGCAGAAGACAGGACGCTGCTGTCTCCACTAATCTCGAAATCGACAAGCTGCTGAGGGTCGCACCTGCCACTGGAATTGCACCCGGGCCACCTGATTTGGACAGGCTGGAAGGCGGCAGAGAGTGTACGGGGTAGGTACTTGTAGTGCACAGGCAAGACAGGGCAGGTACGCGCTGTTCGGGGGAAGGCCCGCCCAGGTCTCACACTCCTCAGTAGCTCAACCACCTGCTCAACATGGTACGCCGCCAAAGCGGTACAGTGACGCGATCTCTGCTTTTTGAACGTCAGCTTGGTGTCTCTGCTGTTTACGTTTACCATATGGCTTGCCTCCCATGGCCGTTCCCAACTGTGGAATGATTTCATGCCGACTGACTCCTATCGAGAAAGAGAAACAGTCTGACGAGGCCACCACATGTACAACCCGCCGTTCTACGTTTCTAGGTTCCGTGGTTTCTTCGAGGTCAAAGCACTGCTACTCATCGACCTGCACTTGGTTTCGACGGTAGGCAACGCGGCCTTTTGCTGCTCGTGCTAGTGATACCGTTCTGCCCACATATCCACTACCGTGCACTGTACCGGCCTCTTACCCTGTGACCCAAGGACGATGCATTGGCACGATGCGCCAGCAGAGCTTTCGTGTCACAGCGCGAATCCGACAGCATCTTACAGTACCTATTCAAACCTAGTGGCGTCCTTCATGCCGCTCACCATTTTGAGCATCGCATTCGCAAGAAAACCTTACTTTACTTTTCATCATGGTTTATATGCTACCTGAAGCAGTTCAGACACCCGTGAAGCCCACCACCAAACTCACGGTTGCCACCGCAGCCCAAAGAATGCATGGCCGGTACATGGTGCTACCCTACCTGCTTGCTATGGCAGGCTGCACGCATGTTGCTTCCTGGGCTATCCGACCGATACGTACCGAACTGCTGATTCGCACAATTCGGGTTTGGGTCGCTTAAAAAACCCAGAGCGGCATGTTGATCCCTTCCCCTTCCTCTTCAGGGACCTCTTCAGGTACGACACTCGTGCTGGTCCAGATGCGAATCGCTGGTTATCTTTCCCGGAACCGAGTGGTGACAGCGCACACCCCCACAATGCTGAGGCCAACACCGATCGGCCCCAGTTTCGAGAGTCCTTTCCCTCGTCAACCATCCCCATATTGCTACCGCCGCCGCTGCCGGGCGCCAGCACGCATCTGTACATCCGAGACAATTGTACAGACGACTACGACCTCACACCCGTCTGGGACTGGTATTGAAACCCTCAGACGCTGTTCAATTCTGAAGCGGCACATGATCTGGCGAATGTCGCACCTCGACAGTTCCGACATTGACCGACATTGATCATGGTGCACCGTGTTCCTCCCCTTTTCATGGCTGGTCAATCCCTTGAAGGTCGAGGGGCTGTCGCGGAGCATCTATTTGACGTTCGCGCTCAGATGTTCATCAAATCTCAGATCGCGAGCAAAAGCAATGTGCGCCAGCATGGACCCGCCAAGTCGGCTTCATCTTGAGTGCCGGGTTCCAGCAGCCACTGATTTTGCCAGCTTTACCGTTGTCCAGTTGTTCAGCTCTTCAGCCTCGCTGTTACTTGCAAACTATGCTTTTACTCGGACCTCTACAAACCTACGACCTGGGCCGTTACCCACAGGAGACTAGGTGCCGAGTGGG